CCCTCCGCTAACGGCGCCCGGTGCCGCTGTGGCTGCGCTCGGCCAACGGGCCACAAGTGGAACCGGCCCCCACAAGGGTCTATTTCAAGTTCACCCGGGCGAAAGCAGCGGGTGCCGGGCGCTCTTGTAAAGTTGAAACGAAGGTGGTTTCCTCTCCAGAATTGCCCAATTAGAGGTCGGCAGCGAGCAGACCGCTGCCTTCTCCCCCCGGCGACTCCCGAAACGCCGCGGCGATGCCGCCCGCTCCGGCGCAGCCCGGCGAAACCCAACCCTGCCGCACGGCTCCAACGCCGGCTCCCGCTTTGAAGGTAATAACCAGTTCGGTTAATAGAGAGGTTAGAGCCAGGAGACCGGTGTAATTTAAGCCCAAACATCCTGCATAAATTACAAACCTCACCCTATAATTTCAGGGGATTTTTTTTTGGGGGGGCACCAAGCTCATATAATTTCCGTTCGCACCCAAACCAGCTTTTCAGATGCCACCGTCTCAGTTCCACAGAGAGACTCCGAGCAATGGAGGGCTCAGAGTTGCTCCCTAATGACTCATTAATTGGGTTTTAACTCTGTTAACCGGCCGTGCTCCAAACATCAATTTGCCAAGTGCTGGCGAACGGCTCCCTCGCAGGGCGATGGGGCCGGGCCGGCCGCCAAGCTGCACCGCGAGGGCTCGGGCTGCCCTACCTGGTCTCTGCTGCGGGCGACCCGCTCCGTGAGCAGCTCCACCGTGGTCCTCTCCTCGTCCAGCTCCACCTCCAGGCGCTTGGACTTTTCCTACGGGTCCGGCTGGGTGAGCGCGAGCCGCTGGGCCTGCTCTGCCCCTTGCTGCTGGCGTGCAGCACTGCAGGCACCGGCCAAGGCGCGTGGCCACCCCGGGGCTCTTCTCCCTCCCCACGGGGCTCTCGGTGGCTCAGCAGCATCTGCTGCGTTGCCCAAAAAACGCTACGAACCTCCAGGGTCTTGAGCTGGCGTGAGCGGTCGTCCTGCGAGCGCTTCTTGGCGTCCACCTCGTGCTCGAGGTTGTGCAGCCGCTGCAGCAGCACCTCCTTGTCCAGGGTCGCGCTCTCCCGCTCCGCCTGGCTGTCCTGCAGCGCTTGCTTCAGCCGGGAGACCTGCGGCGCGGAGGGAAGGCGCTGCAGACCCAGGCCTGTCCCCAAGCTGTCAGGGGACAGAGACAGGGGGAAGGTGCCAGCCCGGGGTGGCCCTCGGGGGCACCGCGCGGTACCTCATCCTGCAGCCGGTCCATGCTGAACTGCATCTTCTCCACCTCGGCACCCCGGTCCTTAGCCTGTTTCTGGGAATCCGTGAGCTCCTTCCGTGACTTCTCCTTGAACTCCTCCAGCTGCGACCTCAGCACGGCCAGCGAGCTCTGCGACTCCTCCGTCATCTGCTCCAGCTGGGGCAGAGCAGGGAGCGCTCAGGAGCCCACGTGCTTTGCCCCGAGCCACGGGAGCCCAAGGCAGGAAGAGATGCCCGCGGGCACGGCCTTCGGGGAACATTTCTTCCCTGGGCTCAGGAGTGTCATGCAAAGGGGTACAAGCCCTGCCAGCACAGCCTGGGTGACCCCCCTGGGGTCTGCTGGGTGACAGCAGGGGCTCTGCAAGAGCCTGAGCCTCTTGGGGGGCAGGATTGGCCCTGCAGGTGCAGGATAAGTCCCCGAGACATCAGGAGATGCTGCCTGCGAAGAGCCCTGGGGCCAGGGCGGGTTCCCGGTGTTGGAGCGCAAAGACAGAGCTCCCAGGATTTGGGGGAAGGATCTGTGCCAGCTGGCTCTGCGGGGAAACCAGATCCCTGCTCCGTGCCCAAACCTGGGGGCAGAGCCCTGTCCCCACCCTGGTTCAGCTGCTGGTGTCTCAGAGGTCTCAACCACGCGGTACCGAGACGGGGTGTGAGAGCACGCGACGCCCCGCGGGATGGGGCTCCCCGGGGCACCCCAACCTCTTTGCTGAGCTTCTCCGTGGTCCGGTCGAGCAGGCGCTTCTGCTCCTCCAGCTCGCTCTTGGCGCGCTTCAGCTGCTCCTTCTGCCTCTGCTCGTCCTGGTAGGACACGCTGAGCTCCTGGTGCTCCTGCGCGAGCCGGGCCAGGCCCCGCTGCGCCTCGTCCAAGCGCGTCTCCAGCGAGCGCTTGGCCATCTGCAGCTCCTGCTCCCGGTCCGTAGCTTCGCTCAGCGACTCCTCCATTTGCCTGCGCTCGCTCTGAAAGGACAAGGCTCTTAAAACACCTCCCTGCTCCTCTTCGAGGCAGAGGAGCAACCCTCAGGCTCCGGATGCCCGGATCAGCGGTGCAAGGGGGTGACAGAGACAACTGCGGACTCGGTACCTCCAGTTTGGTGACCTTCTCCTTGAGCCGGGCTTGGGAGCCCTCCCAGTTCTCGCCCAAGCGCTCGTAGTCCCTCAGCTGCGTCTCCAGGCCGAGGATCTTCCTGCGCAGGTCGTCGTTGTGCTCCTGCAGCTCCCGCAGGGTGGACTCCACCGCCCTCCTCGCCTGCTCCGCCGACTCCCTCTCGCTCTCCAGGGAGGCCTTGGTCTGCAAAACAGCCGCATCACGCGGTGGTCGCGGGGCCGCTGCTGCAGGGGGGAGTCTCGGGTGGCTTTCGGGGCTTGTGTCCTCCAGCACAGTGGGAATCAGGGGATCTCGGGCTGCAAGTGTCGCGTTGCCCTGCAGCTGCGCAGTCTGCAGCTCCCACAAGAGCATTAAGAGCCCGTCAAGGCGAGGGCAGGCGGTGGTGGGGCCGGCTCCGGAGCTCACGCTTCGGCAGCGAGTCGGAAACCCCGCGCGGCCCCCTTCAGGCTCGCCAGCTCCTGCTCCCGCTGCTGCAGCAGCTCGTCCTGCGCCTCCTTCTTGGCCGTCAGCTCCCGCTGCAGCTCCCGGGCCTGGCGCAGCTCCTGGCGGGAGACACCCAGGGCAGGGAGCTTTGGCATGGCCCAGGCTCGGGGCTGGGGACCGCGTCCTCCTCCCAGGCTTTGCAGAGTGGGATGACGATGCCAAAAGGCTGGTCCAGGGTCTCCAGAGCCAGCTGTCCTCGCTCCGCGTGCTGTCACCTACCTTCCTGAGCGCCTCGAGCTCGCTGGCATCCGCGGCGCTGCTCCGCATCTGGTCCACCTCGTCCCGCACGTCGGAGAAGCGATCGCGAAGCTCCCGCAGCTCTTCCTCGAACTCCTCCCGCTCCAGTTTCACCTGCAGCAGCCTGGAAGGAGCAGGACGAGGGGCAGCGTCGGCCCGGGACGTCTTGGCCACGCTCTCGCTCCCCACATCAGCCTCCCCAGAGCCACAATGCGACGTCTCCCCAGCCATCCCGCTGCACCCCAGGGGCTCAGGGAGAGAAGAGGAGGCTCCGATGCCTCCCAGCTGCCAACACTTTTCCACAAGGTTTGCAGGAAAGACAGCGCACGGTCACAAACTGCACTTACTCCTGCTTTGTGGTGCGCAGCTCATCCTTGTTCTTCTGGAACATGTCCCGCCAGTGCCCCGTTTCCTCGGCGCTCTCCTCCAGCTCCCGCTGCAGGTTCCTCACCACCGCGTTGATCTTCTGCTTCTCGGTCTCCAGGTTGGCCTGGCCCTGGCGGCAGGGTGGAAGCGCTGAGCGCTCCTTCGGGCTGGTCCCGGTGTCGGGGGCCCCGGCGTGCTGCAGCCCTCCCTCCAAGGACGTTCAGGTCCTGACATGGTTCGTGTTTACCCAAACCAGCCCGGGGAAGCTGTGCAAGGACCCGGGGACCCTCCACACCTCCTCCTTTCCTCCTCGGGAGCATTTAAAGGGAAAAGTTTAGGGCAGAGCCTCCCCCCGGCCCGCAGCCGGACCTGCGACACGTCCTC